TGGTAGAAAAAAAAGATCAAATAATAATAAGGACTAAAAAATTAGTTTATATTTTTTTAGGATGAAAAAACAAAGAAAAATTTCTCTAGTGATGAAAATTAAAATCCCTTCATTTACAAGACTAAAAATTATTTAAGCCATAAAAATTATCACTTATATATTTATTTTTATATCTAAATTTAAATATGTGATATGATTATAAATTTCTTTTATTTTTATTATTAGTTTCTTGCTATGTATTATACTATTATATTCATAAAAGAGTAAAATATGTTTCTCATCTCTATAAAATTTTTCAAGTTTGATTTTAGTCCTTAAAATTTTTTGTGTTATTTTAGTCCTTCTAATATAAAGATGCACCACTTTTGGTTCTCAAAATTATTTATATAGTGCATTATAATAAATGACAATATTAAATAAATTGAATGAAAAATATATCATTTTCATATTTGTTAATATTATGTTATTTTTTAATGTAATAAAACATGTAATTTTTAATTAAATCATGTATGTGATTTTATGTTATAAATATTCATATTTTAAAATATTTATATATATAAGGACTCATACCAACAAGTAGTTAGTTTAAATTGTAACGATTTGACAAGTCACTAAACTATATAAAACATAAATATCAGCTAGCTTAATATTAACATGCAAACAATTTCTAAATATTCATCCAACAAGAGTGTGTGTGTGTGTGTGTGTTTATATTTATATATATAAGGACTCATACCAACAAGTTATTAGTCTGAGTTGTAACGACCTGAAAAGTCACTACATAAATATCAACTAACTTAATGTTAACATGCAAACAGTTTTTGGATATTCATCCAACAAGTGTGTGTGTGTGATTTAACTCAACAACAACTTAATGTAAGGTAAACAACACAATAAGTGAGTTAGCATCATAGTCATACATCTCTATATGTTGTCACACATTTCAACTTAGGAGATCTCCAACAACACATGTGAGCAATTTAAGTGACTTAATTCTACCAAACCAACAACACAAATACCTTTCTTCTCTAGGTCATTCAACACAAGTTCAACTCAATAGCTTTTATCAACTCAAAAATGGTTTTTCAATTTTTTTTTCACTTAAACTAGAAAATTTCAACAGTACTGTCAAGAATGAAACAACCTGGGTATGGTCCTACCATAACATTAGTATACATCAACTAAGCCTATATGGAATTAACCCGTAAACTACTCTCCAAATATTGTGCACCCTTCTAGCATTTGGTTAGGGATGTTGGCCCTCAACCTTATGCCTTGATCATTGTCCATTTTACAAAACAATATGGCTCAACCTTGCTCGTATACTACATCAACTAAGAACTTAAAGGAGACAATCTTAAAAACAACTCTCCACTCTAAGAGTTAACTTTCTCTCTAAAGGGTTTTCATCTTTGGACTCTCACAACATCACAACCCAAATCCTCACAATATGGGATCTTTCAACACAAGAAAACAACTCACCGTTCCCTAGTTCTAAGTTCAACTCACAACAAAGAAAGCATGCATCATGCATGAATAACTCAAGCAACACTTATCAAATTACAACTTAAGTAATTTCATCATATTCAACACACTTTACTAAATCATCACATGAATCATCACCGACTTAATAACATAAATATAATTACTCCTCAAGTTTTATCACCATTTAGCAACACACAACACATCATATTCAAATCTATACATAAAATATCTCAAAACAACTTGAAAGGGGTGGAAATTACATAAAAGTCAAAATAGGACTCTTATTGGACAAAGGGTAGCCTCATTGAGCATCCAAACCTCTTTAGGTCTCATTGTCGAACGAATTACTCTTGCTCAATGAGAGAAGCTCCTTGTGGCTCTTCTCAATGAACAAATCCTAACTCGTTGGACAAGTTGGACTATATCATATATATATATATATATATATATATATACTCTAAGAACGAAAAGTAATTGTTCACAAAATATTTTTTAATGTAGAAAAAAAAAATAATCATATAATAACTATCTGTCTCTTTCATTGTTATTATATAGGCGCATGATGTATACATCTCATTCTTTTTATAAATACATCCCTTTTCTTTTTAAATAAAAATCTTAAAATATAATTTTAATTAATTTCATATTCTAAATAAATTTTATTATAAATATATCTTTATTCACTTGTTTCCTCCTCCTCCTTATTTTTAAGGTATTTTGTTGATTTCATATTTTTTTCATACTTCTTAAAAAGTTTTTTGAAAAGTATTTTTTAAAATAGTAAAATTAATATTTCAAAAGATACTTTCTAGTAATGTATTTTTTATATAATTCTGAATACATCCCTTTTCTTTTTAAATAAAAATCTTAAAATATACTTTTAATTAATTTCATATTCTAAATAAATTTTATTATAAATATATCTTTATTCACTTGTTTCCTCCTCCTCCTTATTTTTAAGGTATTTTGTTGATTTCATATTTTTTTCATACTTCTTAAAAAGTTTTTTGAAAAGTATTTTTTAAAATAGTAAAATTAATATTTCAAAAGATACTTTCTAGTAATGTATTTTTTATATAATTCTGAATACATCCCTTTTCTTTTTAAATAAAAATCTTAAAATATACTTTTAATTAATTTCATATTCTAAATAAATTTTATTATAAATATATCTTTATTCACTTGTTTCCTCCTCCTCCTTATTTTTAAGGTATTTTGTTGATTTCATATTTTTTTCATACTTCTTAAAAAGTTTTTTGAAAAGTATTTTTTAAAATAGTAAAATTAATATTTCAAAAGATACTTTCTAGTAATGTATTTTTTATATAATTCTGAATACATCCCTTTTCTTTTTAAATAAAAATCTTAAAATATACTTTTAATTAATTTCATATTCTAAATAAATTTTATTATAAATATATCTTTATTCACTTGTTTCCTCCTCCTCCTTATTTTTAAGGTATTTTGTTGATTTCATATTTTTTTCATACTTCTTAAAAAGTTTTTTGAAAAGTATTTTTTAAAATAGTAAAATTAATATTTCAAAAGATACTTTCTAGTAATGTATTTTTTATATAATTCTGAATACATCCCTTTTCTTTTTAAATAAAAATCTTAAAATATACTTTTAATTAATTTCATATTCTAAATAAATTTTATTATAAATATATCTTTATTCACTTGTTTCCTCCTCCTCCTTATTTTTAAGGTATTTTGTTGATTTCATATTTTTTTCATACTTCTTAAAAAGTTTTTTGAAAAGTATTTTTTAAAATAGTAAAATTAATATTTCAAAAGATACTTTCTAGTAATGTATTTTTTATATAATTCTGAATACATCCCTTTTCTTTTTAAATAAAAATCTTAAAATATACTTTTAATTAATTTCATATTCTAAATAAATTTTATTATAAATATATCTTTATTCACTTGTTTCCTCCTCCTCCTCCTTATTTTTAAGGTATTCCGTTGATTTCATATTTTTTTCATACTTCTTAAAAAGTTTTTTGAAAAAGTATTTTTTAATATTTTGAAAAGTATTTTTTCAAAATAGTAAAATTAATATTTCAAAAGATACTTCCTAGTAGTGTATTTTTTATATAATTCTAAAAAGTACTTTTTAAAATAGTAAATTTAGTGCTTTGGAAAGTACTTTATGGAAATATGTACAAAACACACTTTCAAAATATATTTTTCGAAACATTAATTTTACTGTTTGAAAAAAATATTTTTCACAATTATATAAAAAAAATACTTCTAGAAAATATATTTCAAAATACGTATTATTATCTTGGAAAGTAGTTTTTATAATTATGAAAAAATTCTTCTAAAAAAAACTATTTCCAAAATACTAAAATTAATATTACATAAAGAAAGGTGCATGTTAAAGAAGGGTGTTTTTATGAAGAAAAAAAAAATCAACATTAGAGATAAGAAAAGTTTATAAAGTTTTGATTTTAGAAAATAAAAGAGTATTTTAAAAAAAATAATTAATTGAGGTGTATTTAATATATAATGCCCATGAACCGGCCCAGCTAATAACTACATGTGGATACACTTTTGCTATATTCTAATTAAATTCTATATTTTTAATAGCAAACTCATTACTTAAAGCTGATATAGAAATAGGTAGAGATGGCAAAAATATTAAAAATTTTTTCAAATAGCGGGCCAACCCGCCGGGCCAAATAGCGGGCCGGCCCGCCACAACCCGCCGGCCCGCATATATATATATTTTTTAATTTAATTATTTTTATGTTTATTTTATTTTGATGTAGAAGATGAGGATGAAGATGATTAAGAAAAAAAGTAGAGACATCTTCTTTCAAGAGAGCTTCTAATATTCTTAGAATAAAAATTTAAAGTTAATTAATTGTATTTAAACTTGTTTGTGGACTATCAAAAAATTTAGTGTATAAATAATTTGTAAGTTTATAATTTAGTTTTGATTTTGGTGTAAATGGACTAATTTCTATTTGATTTTGTTTTAAGTTT